TTCAGCTCCCTGCTTGTGGCCTGAGAAAGTGGCATAGCCTTGGAACCTGGCACCTGCCTGGGACACCTAGAAGAGGCTCCTGGCTCTAGGCTTCAGGTTGGCTTAGCAGCCATGTGGGGAGTGAAACAGTGGATGGAAGATTTTTCTGTCTCTCTTCTATCTGTAAAATCTGCCTTTCAAACAAACAAACAAATAAAAAAAATCTTTAAATGAAAAGAAAGAAGATACATGAGTTGTGTCCCATGAAAATGAAACACTTTTGAGCATCAAGGGACATGTATAGAAACTGAAATTTAGTTTACAGAAGGAGTGAAACATTTCCAAATCATATGTCTCATATCAAGAACAAATGAAGAAACATTCTAACTCAACAGGGACACTTAATCTAATTAACATGGGCAAAGGACCTGAACAGATTTCCGTGTAAAAGATACATCTGTACTCAATAAGCACATGAAAAGGTTTTCAAAATCATTTTTTAAAAATAGGAATTAGCAAATTAAAACCACAATGAGATATTACCTCACTTCTACTTTTATGGCTTGTGTGTTTTTAAAAGAAAAAACAGAAAATAAGAAGTGTTGATAAAGATGTGGAGAAATTAAAACTTTGGTAGATGCCTAGCAGAACTTTATAATAGTACAGCCACAATGGAAACAATTTTGGAATTTATGAAAACCTTAGGCGTAAAATTATCAGATTGTCCAGGTATCTCTTTTCTAGTAGATAGCCAGAGGGATTGAAAATGGATACTTAAATAGTTGTATACATATCTTCATAGCAGCATTAGTCACAAGAGCCAAAAGGTTAAAATAACTCATCCATCTGTTAAGAGATTAATGGTTAAACAATGTGTGGTTCATAATATAATGGAATGCTTCTCAGCTATAAAGAGGAATGAAGTATTGATTCATGGTGCAACAAAGATGAATCTTAAAAAACAGTATCCTAAGTGGAAGAAGTCATGACAAAAGGTCATGCAAGGTATGATTTCATTTTGCAGACATTTAGCTGGATCCATGTAAATCAGCATTTTAGTACTAAAACTATAAAGTACTCAAATGAAGCGACTTATGAAGAAAGAAGTTTTATTCTGGCTCACAATTTTGCATGCTCATTGTCCAAGACAGGTGATGTCATTAGTCGGGCAACTCATGAGGGCAGTGAATAGTAGAACACATGTGAAGGGAAGATCACCAAGTGAGGCAGAGAGAGAGAGAGAGAGAGAGAGAGAGAGAGAGAGAGAGAGAAGAGCGCAAGAGAACACGGCCAGGCCTAACTCAGCTTATATAGTTAATATTCTCACAAGAACTGCTTTCTGAGGACATGCCCTCAATATTGAAAAATTCCCACTGGGGCTATTTCCTAGCCATAATAATTTGATCCATCTTTAATCCATTAACCACTAATATATAATTCTGGCGAACAAATTCCCTCACACAGCCCTCTGTAGGACACCCAAGCTGTTGTTCAAATCACAGCAATATGCTGGTAGACATTTTACACCTAACTGCTATGTTGCCCAAAGATCACTCCAATTAGCATCCTAAGCTCTTGACAGAGCAAACAATGCTCTTCCTGCTAACGTGTCCCTGAAATATCTCTTATCTGTTGCCTGGAATATTAATATTGCTGAGAAAGTTCAGATGCACTTAGTTTAGCTATGGGCTTTTATGAGTCTAGCTTAACCTATAATTCTCTCACTACTGACCTGGGGCCAGGCAACCCATGGTCTTGTGGCTTCCCAAGACCACACTTCTGCCTGTAAATCCTCTTGATAACTTATACTTTGTGAAATCTTGAGGTTTTTGCCTCTTTCTTCAATCTCTAGGCCTCCTCCACGTTTGTTGGCAATGTTTGCACAGAAGGTGTTTCCAACACACGTTTCTATGAAATATCCAGAGTAGGTAAATCCGTTGAAAGCAGCCTTACGTTTCTCAGAGGCTGAGGAGAGGGGCAAAGGAGAAGTGACTGCTTAGTAGGTGCAGGGTTGTCTTAGGAGACAAAGAAGGAAATGTTTCAGAGCAGAGGTGGTAGCTGCACACTTCCGTGAGTCACTAAATGCCACTGCGATGTACACTTCACAATCATCATTTTATAGTATGTGAATTCTACTTTAATAGTAATAACTTTTAAAAAGCCTGCATGTGGGCTAGAGCATCAACTGCAGCTAGATTTGGGATGAGGCACCAGGAATGAGCGGTGTGGAAGGCAGAGTGCAGAATCAGACGGAAAGACACTTGTGTTTTTGAGGATGATGACAAAATGTAAAACGCTCCTGGCCTGTGATGAGCCACATTGCGCATCTACAGGTGGATAATGCAGCTCAGGAGAGAGGAGCTATCACAGCAGAATCCGGATCAATCTGGAGCTTGCACCAAGTTGAAAGTGAAGCCGCCTCCTGTGACACTGGCTTGCCATTAAGCATCCCAGCTGCAGCGCCACGTATCCATTGCCCTGCTAATGTAGTGGGAAAAACTGTGGAAGATGGCCCAAGTGCTTGGACCCTGCCATACATGTAGTAGATCCGAATGAAGCTCCTGGTTTCTGACTTCAGCCTAGTACAGACTGGCCTTTGTGGCCATTTGGGGAGCGAACCTGTGGATGGAAGATATATATCTCTCCTTCTTTGTCTCAACTTCTTCAAATACAAGAAAACAATTCTTGCAAGAATCAGTCTATCCACCTTTCTAACCATTACTTTTCCTAGGCCTTGAAATACCTGTACCTGCTCCTAGCAAACACGCACAAAGAATTAGCTTTTATCCCTTCCTCCTGCAAACCCCAGTATGACTCCAGTATGAATGAAGTCCAGTGGAATTTAGAGCTTTGCTGTTATTCTAAGTGTGGCCCATGTTGTCACCTGAACACTGCTGTCACCCAGGGGCTTGATAAAGGTGCAGAATCTTAGTCCCATCTAAGCCCTAGTCTCATCATTTCAATGGGATTCCCAAGTAATTTATATGAACGTGAGTGTCTTGCAAGCACCCATCTAGAAATAACAGGATAGAGCAACAAACAACATTCATTTTCTCTAGGGCATCATGATATGTGACTTCATTTATAAGAGGCTAGTTTAAAAAAGTTTGTGGAAAAATAGAATTAAGAGATAAGTTCATTTTAGATCAAAAACTTAAAATGTATGCATAAACATTTAGGTTTCTCTTTCTGCACCTCTCCCTATATAACTCTGTGACTTTATGTGGGTTACTCCTGTGTGCTCTGCCTTCTTCCCTCATCTATGAAGTGGAATGTGCCATTTCACAGAGTTGTTGCAAGAAATATCCTTGGCAATGGAGACATGCGGGGATTCACCAGGAGGACACACATCATCGTGAAGCGTAGAGGTTGGTTGGATTTTGCAAGGCAAAGACTCACGTCTCTGGTTCCCTAAGAAGTGGCTCTTGAATAACTGAGAGAACTCTCCCTCTTTCTCTGTCTCAAACCTCCTTCCTAAGGTTCTGTCTTCGTTTTATTTTCCTCTTTGGCTTCTGTTACAAAGTTCAAGCTGCTGGCTTTCAAGTCTCCACAGTCATGGTCACGTCCCTCATTCTATTTCTAGCTGCTTTCAGGAAATCTCATGGATATCACACCGTCTTAAAATCAGTTGGTATAAAAGGCAACTCATCTTCCTCCCAGTGGCTACTCCCCACCTCCTAACTTTGTCATAGTCTTTGTCCTATCCAATATTTGACCTCCTTCCCACCGTATTTCATACAGTCTTTCTCTGTTTGCTTTATTTCCCTTGTATTATTTACAGCTGTCCAACACGCTCTTTTATTTATTCATCTTGTTTATAGCTTCTGAAATGTTAACTCCACAGAACAGAAATTTTTGCCCGCTTTTCTGATGATACATTCCAGAGATGAGAAAAGTACCAGTCATTCAGTACTCACATGAATGTTCATACATAGAATGACCTAATGAATTCACATCTGTGGCATTTCTTGTTTTTATTCATTCTCTCTCCTCAGTGCCACTGTCATGTCTGTTTAATTCTTATTGGTTCTCAAGAAAAAGCTTGCCCCATGCTGGTTTATGAAATTTAGGTAAGTCATTTAAATTGTCTTAGCCTTTTCTTCAATTTAAACTGGGACTACAGTAGAGGCTCATAGAATTGTCATGAGACCTATAAATATGATGCACCTAGCCCAAAATATGAACTAGAATGTAATGCTCCATGGATGCTAGTTATTTTTAACATTCCTTGGAGCTAGCTTTTGGCTAGCTTTCTGTCAACTCTCCCTCTCCCACTATTGACTCTATGTGCTGCCCCCAACAAAGCACTTGTGATCCCAAACATGAGATGAATCTTCATACTCTCTATCTGACTGACAGCAGAAACAATCAGATCAGGCAGTCCACCTCTCTGACCCTATAAACTGTCTTGGGTCTAGCTAGCCCCTGATTTGCATCAAGGAAGGGAGAATCTGGAGACCTGTTGTTTTCGCATGTAGTGAAAAGAAAAACGATGTTTAGCATGGCAACTATTTCTAGTATTTATGGTTGGACCCAGAAAATTTTGGCTACATCGATGCATAGGTTTTCAATATTTTAGATGATCTCAATGAGTCCCAGGAAGAATAATCAACTACCCGAGTTGCACAGGCACCTAGCAGCTGATCGTATGGAGATTTTTTTTTTCTTTTTTATGGCTTAGCACTTTGTCTAGCACAGCATGCTGATTCTTAGCAAAGCTTGTTCCCCACACCCTAGCAGTTACTTCCTTTCCATGCACACACACACCTGAAGTTGTTAGCTCTGAACTCTCTCAGGCTTTTGGCATTCAAAAATGGGAAGAAGACAGCAGTTCATCAAGTACCACCACGAGCCCCACTCGCTCCCTTGCCCAGACAGACAGCTGTACACAAGTGATTTAGACCATCAAGAAGCACAAAAGCAAGAAGGCACTCATTGGCTAGAGAGGTTTGCATTGACATTTACCTGGGCCGAGGCAGAAGATGAGTGGGAGAGACTGGAACAACCAGAACATGCTCTCAGCGGGGCTGACTGGTGCTGGAGACCTCATGACAGTCATCGCTGGTACCACGGTTAGTTGAAATGACTTCCGCTTCCTCTTGGCGCGGTGTGTGAGAGCTGCCACACACCAAAGATCCTTCTCTGACTGATTCTCAGCTTAACTACACATGGCCATAAACAGACATCATAGAACTTCATTCCTTTAAAATATATGGATTTACTTTATGGCCTAATATATACACTTGAGAAAACATGCATTTAGCTGTGGTCGGGAAGAATATTCCGGATCTGTCCATTAGATCCCATGTGTTTACAGAGTTGTTTAAGTCCCGGATTTTTTCCAATTTTCTTTAGTTCTTTGAGGTTTTTTTTTTTGTTTGTTTTGTTTTGTTTCTGTGTATTTAAGACAGTAGTTGTAAAGTCTTGGAGAAATTACATTTCTGGGCTTCCCCAGAGATAGTTTCTGTCATTTATATTGTTCTTTTCAGACCAGCTCTGTGGTACAGTGAGTTAAGCTGCTGGCAAGCTGACATCTAATGTTAGAGTCCCAGGTGTCTCATTTCATGCAGTTCCTTACTGTTATGCCTGGGAAAGCAGTGGAAGCTGGCCCAAACTGTTGGACTCCTTGGCGTGCATGAGGGAGATCTCAGGGAGTTCTCAGCTCCTTGCTTCAATTTTGCTTAGCCCTGGGCGTTGTGGCTGTTTGGGGACAGACTTAGCGGGTGGATATCTGTCTTTCTCTTCCTCTCTATGTCACTCTGCCTTTCAAATAAATAAGTTAATATTCTAAAAATATTTTTCCTCTATATGAGCTACATTGTTTATTTTCCTTGGATGATTTGTCATTGTTTCCATAGCCACCATTCCAAGGCCTTGCTCTGGAACTGTGTTTTACCCAGCGGCTGGGCTTCTGCTGATCCTAGCAATCAGCCTCTTGTGAAACTTCCTTCTTCTGAGCCTGCATTTTTCCTGTGCTTATGTGTGGTTTTCTTGATTTTCCCATATATACACGTGTTTCTGTTTGTTTTTTTTTTCCAAAATGATATATTTGTTTATTTTCACTTGATAGCAGATACAGAGACAGACCAGGGGAGCAAGATCTTCTACTCTCCACTTCACTCTGCAAACACCGCAGCGGCTGGGACTGGGGCAGGCTGAAGCCAGGAGCCTAAAGCTCAGTCTGGATATCTAACATGAGTAGCAGAGATTCACAAACTTGAACCATTACCTGCTGCCTTCTAGGGTGCAAAGAGCAGGAAGCTGGGATTGGAAGCATCTTTGGGAGTTGAATCCAGGCAATATGACATGGACGTGGATGTTCCAGGTGGTGTCTCTTAACTATTGTGTCAAATGCCGGTTTGCCACCAATGTTTTAGAGTATTTTGGTTTCCTGGAGTCTTAACCTTGTTTGCTTTTAGGGCTTGCATGGACTGTATGCTGCCACTCACAGTGTCCTGTCCCAGGTTTCTGTGCGCCTGCGTAGTCTTTGCAGTGTTCATAGCGGTTCCTGTTACTCTCTCACCTGGGGTCTGAGCCAGCTGAAAGAGACCATTCCTTCATACAGCCCACGTTTAGCACAGAACTTCAAAATATTGAAATAAAAAGAGCGTTGAACAAATTACATTGAATATAGTTTAATTGAGTTAAGGACACTTCATGGATCTGTCAGCACCTAAACCCAGTGAAGATACTGTGATTAGGCAGACATTATTTACGAACAGAAAAAGGAAGTGCTGTATAGAAGCAGCAGGACTGTTTACAGCGTGACAGTTGCCTTATTTGGACAATAGCTGATCAGTTGGCAGCTTGTGATTGGCCAAAGCTGGGTTTCTGTGATGCCTGGTGCTTGTTACAAAAATAGGCCCTTATGTTAGGCCTCCTGTTGGCATGCCAGGTCAGGCTAGAATTTGTTACATAAGTACTAATAACACAGAGGCAACCTTAGATCAAACTTACGTTAATGTAGCATTTCCCTTCTTTTTAATCAGCCTATCAATTTTGAGAGATCAATTCTACTTGGGGCATTGATCTCTCTCTCTGCTATTGTTACATGGATTTATTTGGTTTCAGTATGAACTTCACAAGTCAAGATGTCTGGTCATTTGAATTATTTCTTAAAAACATTCTTATCAGGCCCGGCATGGTAGCCTAGTTCAACAAGCAAAAGGTAGAACTTGTCAGCAAGTGTGTAGCCAGTGCTATAAACAATAGCAAACCACATGATTTCAATTTCGCTCATATACGTTAATTATTGCCTTATTTGCTGTCGATAATCAGAAAATTTTATGCAAAGTAAAGAGAAAAAGGAACAAAATTTTTATGATGATATCTTGGGAATGTTGTTCATGTTAGGATACCATTTGCTTCTGAGGAGAAACTTGTCCAGTTTTTACCTTGAGGTCTCCAATGGGTTTGCAATCCCAAGAATCTTGAGGGACCCTCTTGCTTAGGGAGTGTGCTCTCAAGAATCACGGCCCTACAGTTTCGCTGCTGAAGTACGGGTGATGACAGGAGCTTGATACAGTTTCTTACGTTTCCAGAAGAGTCTTATTCTAGTTGTTTCCAAAAGACCCAGTTTCTAGGTTATTGATCATGAAAGGTTTGATTGCCCCCAGCTGGTGGCATCTTTTACCTGATAAAAATATACTTTGCCTGACCACATCAGAGCTTGTATTGTTTAGTTATATCCATGTTTATAAGAGGAGGAGGTTTTTTTTTTTTTTTAAGATTTATTTAATTTTTATTGGAAAGGCAGATATACAGAGAGGAAGATCTTCCATCCGATGGTTCACTCCCAAAGTGGTTGCAACAGCTGGAACTGAGCCAATCCAAAGCCAGGAGCCAGGGGCTTCTCTGGGTCTCTCACATGGTGCAGGGTCGCAAAGATTTGGGCCGTCCTCGACTGCATTCTCAGGCCACAGACAGGGAGCTGGATGTGAAGCAGGGTTGCCAGGATTAGTACTGGCACCCACCCACATGGGATCCTGACACAATGAAGGTGAGGACTTTAACTGCTGTTACCGCGCTGGGCCTGAGGAGGAGGTTTAAAAGGCTGTGTTGATAGCAGCAGGGACTCCCAGTGACTGTTTCATGAGGGTTTATTTTGTGTTTTCCATCAGGTGCAGATCTGACTGCCATCAAGGCCAGTGACATCTTCGGCCAAGGCAGTAGAGTCAGTTCAGTTAGTGCTACCAGCTTCAGTTTTAACATGCCCCTAAGAATCAAGTTCCAGAGTTTCCAGCTTCCAGGATCTTGGGCTTGTTCCAGCTGCCTACTGAGGGTCTTGGATCTTCCGTCTCAGGAAGCTGTCCCATCAGCCTTCCTGATGCTTAGGCCCTGGTGTCTTGAACTGAGTCATCACTATTGGCTGTGATGCCAGTGCTTGTCCAACTTACACAATGCCGTAGTGGGAATTGTCAGCTTCTGATTCTAACAGCTCGTTTCCTATATGTGTATATATGCATGAGGGCATTCATGGGCATTTCAAGCATTTCATGGAAAATTTGCAATGTTCTTTTAATTACAATTTTGCCTGAAATTTTTGAGAGCATTTTGTGTGTCTGTGTGCATGTGGTGTTGTGTGTGTGTGGTGTTTCTGTGTATGTGTATGTGATGTGTGTGACGTGTGTATGTGTGATGTGTGTGTGGTCTGGTGTATGTGTGTGGCAAGTGTATATGTGTGTGTGTGGTGTGTGTGTGTGCGTATTGTGTGTGTATGGCTACGAGTGCAGTCTGTTGGTTCAATTTGTCTGGAGAACCCTAATACCCTTGATCATTTCAGCTTCCTTTTTTTAAAAAAATTATTAATTATTTTTATTTTTGATGATTTTTACATAGTTGATTAGGGTGATAAGGGTCAAGGGCTAGAGGAAGGTGAGTAAGATCACCATTTCCACATTCTCTTTTTCCTTCCTGTATTGGCAGAAGGCAGGAAACAAGGAAAGAAGCCACAGCCAGCCTCCCAAATGCTTCTGCACTGTGGGATGGAGGACAGCCACCTGGTACCACCCCAGGGTCCCTGATGTGGGGCATGTTTTGAGGGTCCTGCTCATGAAGTTTCAATAATTCAGCAGTTCTGAAATACTGCTGATTTCACCACTGCAAGCATGATGAAATTTCTCCAGAATCTACTGGCTGACATAGTCTACCTTAGAGTCTCTGTTTGCTTGGCTGGGGTAGGTGATAGATTTGTTCTGTCTTCTGTCCTCTGTTATGGTACCAGGTGTCCTGTGCAGACTCCAATGTACTGCCATATCCTCCATGTGCAACTGGATATGCTGTCCCTGCTCCATCTAAGCCACTGAGGAGACCCAGCTCTGACAACATGCACTGCATAGTCAGACCATGGAGCCTGCAATTCTCTCCATAGTTGGGGTTCTGAGTCCAGCAATTCAGTTGGAGGAATCCCCATAGAAACTTCATCTGAGGTGACCCCAGACCTGATCCCTGTGTATGCTTGCCAATACAGGGTCTGGCACAGTCTGTCGCCCCAGTTGGCATATGTACACGCTGGTGGTTGCAATTGCTGGGTCAGTTCTGTTTCCAGCACTGTTTTCTACATAAACTGATGGGTGTTGCAGCCTAGCTTGATCCTGCTCACCACACACTTGGCCTGCATGTACACTAGTGGGAGCTGCAAGCTAGTCAGAGTGGCCTGAAATAACCCCCACCAGAACCTCCCCCTGCCCTGCTTCCTGTGTTTTGCCAGTATGTACAACAGACTGGTCCAGTCTGTCCCATATCCTATTCAGCTCTTACACATGTCAGTGGGCATTGAAGCCTAGTTCAACCCAACCAGCCCTACTATTCAGCCCACACACCTGCCACTCTCTGTCTAGCCATGCCTGACACAGTCATGGTTCTCAGGCTCACCAGTCGAGTGACAATTCAAGAGAGAGGTGCCCAGTGTTTCCCTAATGGGCCCACTCCCACTCTTGGATCTTGCACTTTCCAGGTGGTTCTACAGTTTAACTTGACAGAATTAGCCCCCAGTGCCAGCAGCTACCAGCTGATGCTGCATCAAGCCCAACCAACCCATACTCACTCTGACTTATGCAATGTACCAGTAGGAACAGTTAATCCAGTCTGACTTTCCTCTGATCAAGCCCACATGAGGCCAACAGGTGTTGTAGTCCTACCCAGCCTGGTCTGCTCCCATCTCAACTGACACTCACCAGTGGTCTAGCAGGGGAGCCCTCCACATGCCCCCTACCGACTTTACCCCCTCCCACCCTGGGCCTCATGTGTGCTGTTTTGGTGCTGCTTGGGTGTTTTGGCCCAGTCTGGCATGGCCCACCTCACCTCGGCATTTGCCAGCAGGTTCTGTAGCTTGGCCCAGCCTACCCCTAATTCCAGCTCTTGCTGGTGGGGGTTACAGCCTAGCCAAACCCATCTGGCCTTCAGTCTTGGTCCTCATGTGAAATGGCTTGTTTTGTGATCCAACCGGGCCCTACCCACACTCCATTCTGGTGCTTGGATTTGCTAGTGGGTGATATGAACTGGTCCAGTCTGGTTCACCCTTGACCTGTGCCAAATGTATGCCAGTGGGTACTGTTCACTGGCCTGGTTGGGGCTGCTCCATATCGTGGTTCTTGTGCTTACCTGAAGGGATTGTGTCCCAACACAAGCTCTTTCACTTGAACCTCTTCCAATGCCAGGTCTTGCACATATCAGTGAGTTCACGAGCCAGCCCTGCTTAGTCCACTTCCTGTCTTAGCAGAAACAGTGGCTTTTCCTGACTGGCCTTCACCCATTCTGGTTTTTACTGTTGGGTGCTACAGTGTAGCCAAGCCTCATCCACACCCAGACACAGCTTACACCTGGCTCAGCAGGGGTAGAGACCTAGCCTAGCCAATCCTACACCCACTCTGGTTCTCCCAAGCACCAATGGGTGGACAGTCTGGTGCATGCCAATTGTGCTGAGGGACAATGCAACTATTTTCAGAATAGATAGCAGCTCTAATTCTAGCCCTCACATTCACCAGCCAGGAACCACAACCCAGTCAAGGGCATCCCCTTATCTCCCCAACCAGGCCTGTTCCCATTCACAGATCTTGCATGTGCTAGTGGTTGCTCTGATCCAGCTTGGCGTAGTCCCTCACCTGCTTTGGCCTTTGCCTAGGGTGCTGTAGCCTGGGCTGACTTGTCCTGCCCCCAGTCCTTACTCTCACTGGCAGGTGCTGGAACCTGGCCCTGTTCAGTGTGCTCCCATCCCTGGCTCATGCAAACTGGTAGGTGTGATGGCCTAGCCTGGTATGGCCTATGCTCCAGCTTGGTTTCTGCACTTGTTGGTGAGCTATGATTGCTTGGTCCTGCCTGGTCTGCCCCCTTCTAAAATGAACCTATCCATCAGCCAATGGTTGGAGCTACCTTGCCCAGCCCGTCCAACTCCCAGGCCTGGATCACATGTTCACCAATGGGAGCTATGACCCATAGGGGAGTTTCCCAACTTCTCCCACTCAGCCCATTCCCAGACCCAGATCTCAGGCATGTCAATGGCTGCTAGGCCCTTGCCCAGCATAGTCTGTTCTCCTCCATCTTGGCTTAGTATAAGCTGGTGAATGGTGTGGCCCAACACTTTCCACATCCTGTTTTAGGATGCACATGTGGGTACTTTAGCCTGGACCTGCCCAGACTATTCTTGGTGTCCATACTTGTGAGTGCTAGCAGGTTCCGTGGTCACACCTAACTCAGCCCATCCTTACCCCAACTCTTGAGCTAACCAGAGGGACTTGTATTTCCACAGGATTTGGCCCACATATCCCCCAGAGAATTTACCCCCAGACCTGTTTCTCTTGTGTGCTGATTAGTATCATGGCCCTGCATAATGTGACCCATTCCCTATTCCAACATTCAGCCAAGTACTGGGATCTAGTCCTGTTAAGAAGGCCCCCATCCCTAGTTTTAGCATGGGTTGAAGTGTGGTGGTTAGCAATGTTCTATGTTAACAAGCCCAACTCCAGATTCTCATGTGGGCTGATGCCTGAGTCTGACCCATTCAGATCTTCCAGGTTCTCCCCTCCAAACCACCAGGTCTCAATCCCCTTGCTTACCTGCGGTTACAGTGGCCCTGTTATTGAGCGTCCCTCAGGATTCATTCCTGATGTACGTGTAATCCCAGACCCCCAAGTGGGCAAAATCTGGTGCTGTTGGTGCTCTGGCCACCCCGAAGCCCAGGATTCACTCACTGCTTGGCACCGATAGACAGGGAGCTAGGTTCCCCAGCAGGAAGCCTGGTCTGCACGGGTTCTCCCAGCCACAGCCACATGGCTGGAAGATTCAGACACTTGCACCTCTGAGCAGACTTACCTAGCTTCCTGGTTTTACTCTTCAAACTCTTCCATCACCTTTGCATTAATTTTCTGTATTCCACTTGTGGCTTTACAGTATCTAACACAGGTTCAGTTTTTCTGATTGGACATTGAAAAAATTTTGTATTTAGCTTACTAAGAAGTGTATTTCAAAAAAAGTTTTTGATTTATTTATTTTTTTTACTGGGAAGTCAGATTTTACAGAGAGGAGAAACATGTTGAGAAAAACCTTCCATTGCTGGTTCATTCCCTAAATGACCACAATGACTGAGCTTATCTGAAGCCAGTAGCTAGGAGAAGCCTCCTCTGGGTCATCCATGTAGATGCAAGGTCCCAAGGCGTTGGGCCATTCTCCACTGCTTTCCAAGGCCAAAAGCAGGGAGCTGGATCAAAAGTTGAGTAGCCAGAATATGAACTGGTATCCATATGGGATGCTGGTACTTGTAGGCGCAGGATTAGCAAGTGAGCCGCCGTGCCAGCCCCAACTAAGAATTATTTTCCAAGGATTTGTTTATTTTAATGAAAGTCAGAGTGAAGAGTGAAACAGCAAAAGAGACAGAAAGATCTTTCATCTGCTGATTTATTCCCCAAGCGATTGTCTTAGCCAGGGATGGACCTGGCAGAAACCAGCAGTCAGGAGATCCACTGGGTATATCATGGGGGTGGCAGGTGGCTAAACACTTGAGCTATCTTCTGCTGCTTTCCCCCAGGCCACTAGCAGGGGGCTTGAAGTGAAGCAGCCAGGACACAAACCAGCATGCACACGGGGTGCTGGTGTTGCAGGTAGCAACGTTATCTGCCAGGTCACAAGATCAAATGCCTGAGCAATTTTTGAATCAACCAGAAGTGTTTAATTCTATCAAATATATTATGTAGACCTGATCAAGATGAGTGTGTGTTTGTGTTTCTTTTAATCTCCTT